TTTCTTTCTTTCTTTCTTTCTTTTCTTCTTTCTTTCTTTCTCTTTCTCTCTTTCTCTCTCTCTTTCTCTCTTTCTTCTTTCTTTCTTTTCTTTCTTTCTCTCTTTCTCTCTTTCTCTCTTTCTTTCTTTCTTTCTTCTTTCTTTCTTTCTTTCTTTTCTTCTTTCTTTCTTCTTTTTCTTTCTTTCTTTCTTTTCTCTTCCTTCCTTCCTTCCTTCCTTCCTTTCTTTTCTTTCTCTCTCTTTCTTTCTTTTTTCTTCTTTCTTTTCTTTCTTCTTTCTTTTCTTTCTTTCTTTCTTCCCTTTCCTTCTGTTTTTCTTTTCAAGATTTTATTTATTTGAGAGAGAGAGAACATGAGGTGGGGTGGGGAGGGACAGAGAGAAAGAGGGAGAGAAAGGGAGAAGCAGACTCCCCGCCGAGCAGGGAGCCCGATGTGGGACTCGATTCCAGGACGCCGGGATCATGACCTGAGCTGAACGGACTGAGCCACCCAGGTGCCCCTGGTTCCATCTTTCTTTAACAATATCTTAAAGGTGCATTTTAAAGTTGGAATGTTATAAGAACTATGCTCAAAAGAATAGATTTAGAATGGCTATACCTTCACTTTGGAATAAATCATATATATAGTTAAATAAAAAATTTAAGCACAGTTACTTATAAAGTAATCTGCAAATAAATGCAGATGTTTGGGTATGATTCTGGATGAATTCGTGAAACTGACAGGTACTGCCTGGCCATTCCTTTCCCTAGCACCTCTGTCTCCCACGCTGCCTGTGCCCTGGGTTACGGGGGGTTCTTCCCTCTCCGCTCTGTTTGCAGACAGTGTTCGCTCCACGTCCGCAGTTGTTCAAAGGTCGGATTTTAATACTCCTGAGCCTTCGTGCCTCTCCTGACTTTTCTAGCTTTACTGCTAGAGTTGCTGCTTTCTCCCACCTGAAAGAAGATGCCAGCGAAGGCGTGCACCTTTCTCTGTGATGCTTCACACGATACCAGTTATAGGTGCTTTTTGCCAGAGAATGGTCTTTACCCCAGAAGTCCCTACTGTATAAAGTCTACCAGCATTTACCACTTTCTGTCAGAATCTGAAGAATTAGACCATCAAATCATTACATCATACATCTGAAAATTATATGTTAATTATACCTCAGTAATAAAAAAAAGATATTACAGCAAAACGGAGGGAAAAAAAAACTAGATGAAGATACTGGTGAGGGACATAGAGGTTTCTAGAGTGAAAGCTTCTGGAAGTTCTTTCCCTCTGTAGACCCAGGCTCTTTGGTCAGCCTCGGTCTGCAGATTCAGTCCTTTTTCCCTGTACCTCCTGTATAAAGTTTGCACTTTTTTTTTTTTTGCCTTATTATACCATAACTGATTAGACAAAATGTGACCTTATTGTTTTTCTTTTGCTTTTTTTTTTTAAGATTGTATTTCATTTATTTGAGAGAGAGAGCAAGAGGGAGCACCAGCAGGGAGGAGAGGGAGAAGCAGGCTCCCTGAGGATGCAGGGCTCGATCCCAGGACCCTGGGATCATGACCTAAGCCAAAGGCAGACGCTTAACTGAGCCACCCAGGCGCCCGTATTTTTTCTTTTTAATGAACTATTAACAAGTGATCTGCTATTTTTACGAGACAGTCTCATCCAGCTTATATATTTAGAAGCATCGTAAATGCAACCTCAGGGTTGCTCAGAGTCAAGTTATAGACCTCTGCGGGAGGAGCCGTTGCACTTGCAAACCCAGTGTATTCCTACATGGTAACCTGAATACTGCATTGGGAGGTTTTTCTCTCTGCACCCACCCCACACGCATCTGCAAGTTTCCGTCTTCATTATCAGCAGTAGATTCCAATCTCATTGTGAATGGTGCCACTCTAACTGCTAATTGCTGCGTGAGCCTTTTTCGGCTGTCTTCTTGGAAGCTCTCTTTGAGCCTTCTTGACTTTGTGGTCTCTTCCCTGTCAGCTCCTTTGCTAGGCCCTCTCATGAGTATTACTTACCTCCCAGAGTCTGCACGTGTACGTCAAACCCAACGTCATATTCAAAGTTGCCTTTTCAAGAATGACAGAATATGTATTTTTAAATATTTTATTTCTGAGCAATGTCTACACCTAGCGTGGGGCTCGAACTCACCACCCTGAGATCAAGGGTCTCACGCTCCACCAACTGAGCTAGCCAGGCACCCCAAGAATGGCAAAATATTAATTTCCTTATCAACAACCTTCCTGTTTTCATGGTCTTTAGGGTGTTCATCAGTACGACCTACAAAATGGTGGAATAGGATGAACAACACTCCCTATTTGTCCCCCACCGCCCCCCGCCTTTTTCCATCTGCTTAGAGATGTACATGGACAGAAATACTTAAGTGCTAGTTATCAGCTTCCAGTTGATGTGGCCTGCCTTCAAGAACAGAGGGGGTGGGTTTGTTAAGAAGTTGCCAGGGGTCTGGAGAAATTGACATCAAGGAAATCCCCGGGAGAAATTCTGCGCAGGATATCTTAACAGCTTTATTGAGAAGAGACTCATTCTGAGAATCTCAAACTTAGAGATCTGAAGGGCTTCTACTTCCATCCCCAACAGATCCTGGATTCGTATTTGTAACATTTCTACCAAGTCGGTGTCCAGCCCCACCTTGAATACTCCCTGAGATGGGGACTCTCAAATTCCCATTCTTTGGACCACACTATTAGTATATTAGGATATATTAAAGCAAGCCTTTGGTTGTTTCTATCCTCTAGTACTGTGCAGAGTGAATCCACCTTCCGCTAAGCATATCTTCAGATATTTGAAGGCAGTTATGCCCGAAGCCTTCTCTGCTGACAGAGAAGTCCTTACTTCCTCAGCTGGTACTTTAGAGACCTGGGACTAAGTATCCTGTTTTGGGCTACCCGTGTAAGGGTAAATACCTTATAAGGAAATATAAAAATAGCCCTTGTTAATATGATTTGGAAATGTGATAACAGTCTGTTGAATTGGTACTTATAAATATTGAGTTTTTTTTTCTGTAGCCAGGTAACATATTTTTAGTAAATACAAAACACATAAAGATTGGAGACTTTGGACTTGTGACATCCTTGAAAGACTGTGCAAATCGGACAAGTAATACAGGAACTTTTACATACATGAGCCCAGAGCAGGTGAGGTCCCTTTCCTTTCTATGTATTTTTCACTTCTTTTGTATTTCTAATTATAGAGATAATAGACACCTCTTAGTAAAACAACAAAGAAGCATATAGAACAAAAATGGAAAATTCCCTTTAATATTCTTTTCTACTCTTCTCATGGAGTCTGTTGTTTATCGTTTTAGATAATTTTCTGTGAGTTATAAACATATATAAACACAGATATATATATAGAGAGAGACTTTTTGCATAAAGATATAAGGACATGCTTTTACAAAGTTACTGTAATGTTATTTTGCGCCTTATTTTTTTTCATTCAACAATGTATCCTAATCTTTCTATATCAGCACACGTACATCTGGCACATCCATTTTAGCAACTGTATTGTATGCTGACCTATACCATCATTTATGTAACTTTCTTATTGATGCGTATTTATTTAGGCTGTTAGCAAGTTTTTATGTTCCCCCCCTTATCTTTGACTCTAAAAACAAGTATTTCCATGATCATCTATGATAGGTTCGTTCAAGTGAAATTATTGAATAGAATGACAAGTGCATTTCAAACTTGGCCAATACTGTGACATTGTCATCCCCCAAAAAGGGATTCTACTATGCCTTCCTCCCAAAGTGTTGGAGAATGCTGCTTTCTCCTTCCCATTCCCAATCAGACTAGGGTGCTAGCAGACTGCAGTTTGGGCCACTGTGATGAATGAGGAGTATCTTGCTGGTTCAGTTTGCATTTTTCAGATTTTTAGTAAGGTAGACCATCTTTACATGTATTTACTTAGGATTTTTCTGCAGATTCTATGTGTACTTTCCTCGTTTTTCTTAATTAGGTTATCTGCTCCTAATTTATTTGTAGAGAATATTTATATATTTCAGTGACTGATTCTGTATCTGTTAACCATATTGCAGATTTGTTCTCCTTGATTGTTCCTTATTTCTTTGTTTATGATGTATCATGGAAGCTTAAATTTTAAGTTGTCATGTTTATCAGTATTTTCTTTATGGCTGCTGGGTTTCTCATTTTTATTTTGGAGGCCATTTCTCCCACATTACAAAAATATTTTGTGTTTTTACTTTAATTGAGCCTAACTTGAATTAGTTTTTGTATACATCTGAGGAAGGGGTATACCTTGATCTTCCTCATGTGGATATGCAGTTGCCCATCACCATGTATCAGATAGTTCATGATGTAAGCTTTTATTTTAAGGAAAATTCATAGAAACAAAAAGTAGAACAGAAGTTACTGGGGCCTGAGGAAGAATGGGAAATTGTTTAATGGTGCAGTTCTGTTTGGGATGATGAAAAAATTTTGGAAATAGATACCGGTAATGGTTGTATGATATTGTGAGGGTACTTAATGCCATTGAATTGCACACATAAAATGGTTAAAATGATAAATTTTATGTCTATTTTACCATAATAAAAATGGTATTTGTAATCAAAACAGTATGGTGGTGGCACAAAAATAGGCATATAAATCAATGGAACAGAATAGAAAACCTAGATATGAACCCACAATTATATGGTCAATTAATCTTTGACAAAGCAAGAAAGAATATCCAATGGGAAAAAGACAGTCTCTTCAACAAATGGTATTGGAAAAATTGGACAGCCACATGCAAAAGAATGAAACTGGACCACTTTCTTACACCATACACAAAAATAAATTCAAAACGGATTAAAGGCCTAAATATGAGACTTGAACCAATAAAAATTGTAAAAGAGAACATAGGCAGCAATCTCTTTGACATCAGCCATAGCAACTTCTTTCTAGATGTGTCTCCTGAGGCAAGGGAAACAAAAGCAAAAATAAACTATTGGGACTACATCAAAATAAAAAAAAAAGCTGCTGCACAGTGAAGGAAACAATCAAGAAAACTAAAAGGCAGCCTACGGAATGGGAGAAGATATTTGCAAATGACATGTCCCATAAAGGGTTAGTATCCAAAATATATAAAGAACTTATAACACTCAACACCCAAAAAACAATCCAATTTAGAAAAATGGGCAAGAGATATGAATAGATATTTTTCCAAAGAAGACATACAGATGACCAACAGAGACATGAAAAGATGTTCAACATCACTTGTCATCAGGGAAATGCAAATCAAAACTACAGTGAGATCTCACCTCACACCTGTCAGAATAGCTAAAATCAACAACACAAGAAACAACAAATGTTGGTGAGGATGTGGAGAAAGGGGAACCCTCTTGCACTGTTGGTTGGAATGCAAACTCTGGAAAACACTATAGGAGTTTCTCAAAAAGTTAAAACTAGAACTACCCTGTAATCCAGCAATCACACTGCTAGGTATTTACCCAAAGAATACAAAACTACTAATTCAAAGGGATACATGCATCCTGATGTTTATAGCAGCATTATCTTACAAATTATGGTAAAAGTCCAAGTGTCCATCGACTGATGAGTGGATAAAGAAGATGTGGGAGACACACACACACACACACACACACACACACACACACACACACACACAGAGGAATATTATTCAGCCATAAAAAAGAATGAAATCTTGCTATTTGCAATGATGTGGATAGAGCTAGAGAGAATTATGCTAAGCAGAATAAGTCAGAAAAAGACAAATATATGATTTCACTCATATGTGGAATTTAAGAAAACAAATGAGCAAAGGGGGGAAAAAGAGAGAGGCAAACCAAGAAACAGACTCTTAACTATAGAGAACAAACTGATGGTTCCCAGAGGGGAGGTTGGTGGGGGGATGGGTGAAATAGGTGATGGGGATCAAGGAGTGTACTTGTGATGAGCCCTGGGTGATGCATGGAGGAGTTGAGTTACTATATTATATACCTGAAACTAATATTACACTATATGGCAACTAACTGGAATTTAAATAAAAACCTAAAAGAAATGCTATTTTATCATACATGAAATTCCCACACACTCATGGATCTGTTTTTAGATGCTCTTCTGTCCAAATGACTTATTTTTATCTTTTTCTCTTTAATATCATACTGTCTCAGTTATTATAGCATTATAATATCAGTTTTAGTATTTGGACAGCAGGACCTCCCACATCATTCTTCATTTTAAAAATGTTCTTAGTGTTCACATTCACTATTGCATGTGAACCATAGAATCAGCCTGTCATGGTCCATCACTGGTGTTGAGATTTTTGACAGAAACTGCGTTAAATTTAAGGATTCAACTGAAGAGAATTGACATTTTTATATATCTGAGACTTCTGCTCCAGGAAATGGCAGGTTTCTTCCACTTATTCAAGTCCTCTCTCAAGTCAGCCTTGGTCAGGCAGTCTTACGGTAACCGGTGACTCCCAATCTCCTCGTGGCATACAAAACACCAAAGATTTATTTCTCGCCCATGTGATGTGTTGGCTGCGATCTGGCTGTGGTTTTGTTCCACGTGTTTCCTTCATTCCAGAACCCAGACTGAAGGAAGCACCCTGTCTGGGTCATTGCTGTCCTCACAGCTGGTGGCGGTGGTAGAACCTCGTGATGACTTGGGTGGGCTCTGCCCAGGAGCGGCACACATCACTAACCATCATGGCCCTGTGTGAATTGCATGGCCCACCCCAAGGGGTGGAGATGGCAGGTGTCATCCTCTTACTGGGAGGCCAGGGCACAGCCGGGGGCAATGATAAACCTACCTTAAGGCCATTTTTATATTCTTCAATGAAGTTTTAAAATATTTTTTTCTTCATGAAGACCACTTATATTTTCATTTTTTTGACCACTTATATTTTTAAAGCATTTCCCTCAATATATGTAGTGCTTTGCTGTTAAAACGGGACTCCTTGTATCTAATTGGTTATTAGTAAGTCTATTGATTTTAAAACATTTATTTTTAATTGTGGTAAAATACACATAACATAAAATTTTCTGTGTTAGCCATTTTTAAGTGCACAGTTGAGTGGCATCAAGTACTTTTACGTTGTTGTGCAATCATCTCCACCATCCCTCTCCAGAACGAACTCTTTTCATCTTGCAAAGCTGAAACTCTGCACCCACTGAATAGCTCTGCGTTCCCCTCTCCCCCAGCCCTGGCAACCACCATCCTACTGTCTCTATGAATTTGTCCACTCTAGATATCTTGTGTAAGTAGAATCATAGAGTATTTGTCTTTTTGTGACTAGCTTTTTTCACCCAGCATAATATCTTCAATATCACCCATGCTGGAGCAATATGTCAGAATGTCCTTCCTTTTTAAGGATTAACAATATTCCGTTGTATGGATAGACCACATCTATTCATCAGTCAGTGGATTCGTGGGTTGCTCTACCTTTTGGCTCTTGTGAAAATTGCTGTTATGAACCTGGTCGTACAGCTATTGATTGTGAATGTTTGTCTTATATATAGATTCGCTATTCCAGTAGCTTATATTTTTTGGTTGACAGTTTATTGTCTATTTTTCATCTTTTTGATGTTTGAGAGTCTAGAATGGAGAGGAAATCCACCTGTTCCCTTTGGGGACCGTGCGGCACAAAGACATAATTTAAGTTTTTTGTGGAATGTGAAAGTGGGAGACAATAGGTGGCTAATGGCCCCCCTTTAACTCGCACTCTATTAAATATCTCCTGCACCCTGTATTGCCACCCTAAAAATATTTTTTAAAAATTCATTCATCATTGTGCTTTTCATTTTCTTAGTGGTTTTTAAATTAAAAATCATTTTATTAGGGCATGATTTATACACCATAAAATGTACATATCTTAAATGTACATTTTTTGACTGGTTTTTTGAAACCCAGAAGCCTATGAAAAGGTAGAGCATTATCCTCACCTGTGAGAATTCCCTCAGGCCCTTTCCAGTCCATCCCTCCTTCCCAGAGGCAATCAGTGCTCTGATTTCTGTCACCACAGATTAGTTTTCCCTGTCTTGAGCTTCATATGAATGGAATCATACTTTATGTACTTTCTTGTATTTGATTATTTCCCTCGAAGTAATGTCTATTGGAGAACTTCTAGTCGTTGCTTATGCCAACAGATTATTCCTTTTCGTTACTGAGTACTATTCCATTGCCTGAAGAGGCCACAGTGTGCTTATTCATTCTCTTGCAGATGGACATTCGGATTGCTTCCAGTCAGAATATTAGAAATACATCTTCTATGAACATTTGCATGCAAGTCACTTGTGAGAAATATTTTAGCTATTTTACCTGCTGCATCTTCCTTAACACCACAGTCAAACTCTGAGGTTGGAACTTTTGTTATCCCCATTTTTATGGTTGAGATTATTCTACCCTTGATGGTTCATTTACATGGGTGATGCAGCTATTTAGTGACAGATTGGAACCAGGGCAGTCAGACTCCACAGATGTTGCTAACAAACATGTAACATGATAGAAGATATTTGGTCAAATAACTTTTTTTGGCTTCAGAAGAACTTGGATATTTATATTGGGTGAGTAACGAATGTAAACATATCTTGGTCTCTTTAGATTTCTTCACAAGAATATGGAAAAGAAGTGGATATCTTTGCTTTGGGGCTAATTCTCGCAGAACTTCTTTACATATGTCCCACTCTTTCAGAAACAATAAAGGTAAATAATCTCACAAAAATAATTAAGCAACAAAAATTATTAACAGTCATTTCCAAAGTGCTGCTACAATAATTACCCTCATGGGAGGATCGGCTTGAATATATTCGTGTTGACCAAAAAGGAAATATGGATTTTATCTTTTCCATGTTTGGGCAACCAAAGCTTTTTGTTTAAGACCAAAACCTTTGGTCTTCTTTGAGAGGTATGTACAGCTCATAAAGCTACAGCTGTTTCTTTTTTGAGTCAGTCAGTAAACTTTTATGGATTGCCTGCTTTGCAGAAGACACGGTGCTAAGTGCTACAGGGTTATAAAAATGAATAAGCCTTGTTCTCAAGGAGCTTATATTCTAGAAAGGAAAATAAGAGAATGCCATACATGTTTTGGGAGAAGACATGAAGTTTTGTGGAAATGGCTAGGACAGAGATCTTGCTAGCTAGAGGGATTTCGGTTTCATGGAGGTATTTAAGCTGGGCTTTGAAGGACTGGTTCGCCTCTAATGGTCCAAAATAGAAAGAAGGCAGATCCAGCCTTCAGACAGCAATGTGCAGAGTGTGGGAATAGCAGGCAGTGGCATTTTTATTGGAGTATATAAGTGACAAGGAAGCGAGGGTTGATGGCACTGGAAAGACATGCTGGGGCTAGATGAAGGCAAGGTGATGGACTTTCTTATGGAGGCAGTGGGTTGCCGCTAAAGACATTAGGCAACAGGACAGCTTGGTCTGAAGCTCAATAAAGGGAACTTGCCTGGAGCCAACAGCCTTCTCTGTACACGGGGTAATGAAAATACCTATCACATAAGATTCCAAGAAGGATGAAGGGAGATAATGCATATGATGCTCTTAACACTTCAGCATATCATGATGTTAAGGATGGGGCAAAGTGGGAGAAGGGGAGTCCTGTGTGCTTCTTGGCTAAGAAACAAGTTTGGTTTTCCTCCCAAGTGAGTAATCTCCTAATGACTATATATATGTATGTTTTATTTTCAGATTTTTAAAGACCTAAGGACTGACAAGTTCTCAGATATGTTCGATGACAGAGAAGTAAGCACTTGAAAATAATCAGAATTTCATTTATTTCAATGTTCTGTTTCTTAGTATTGACTCATTATCATTACAGAAAATTCTTCTGCGGAAATTATTGTCACATGACCCCACGAAGCGACCTAATGCATCTGAAATACTGGAGACTTTGAAGGAGTGGAAGAATGTTGTGAAAAATGAACGAAGCACGTGGTAGAGCCCTTCTAAAAAAGTATCCTACTTTGGATATTCAATTTTTCTGTAACTGTCTAAAATCTTCTAGGGACTGCTGATGGTATTTACCTTCTATTTTAATTTTTCCCTTAATTTTTCACTACATTTTAGGAAGGTTTGAATCTTTTTTTTTTTATTAACTTCAGAAACATTCATACATTTGCCTAATTTTCCTGGCTCATCTCCTTATTATAAACATTGGGGGGAATCTCTCAAATTTTTTATGTCAATTAGTGAATCAATCAATTAATAATATTTATCAAGTGTTCACTCTTTCTAGGCCAAAAAATATATTTCCTTGTCTTAAATAGCTAACCAGCTTGTTAGAGAAATATGGTATCCCTAAAAAGATAAGTGATATACAATCATTTTGGAAAACAATTTGGTCTGATCTGGTTAAGTTGAAGGTGTATATACCCTCAAAGCCATCAGTTCCATTCCCACTTGCATGCCTACAAGAATGTTCATAGAAACTCTGTTTACAACAGCCAAAAGAACAAAAAACAATGTCCATCACAAGAAGAATGGATAGTTTTTTTTCATACATTGTAATACTGTATAGAAGTGAAAATGAACGAATGACAAGCTAAATGCAGTAACATGATCCATCTCATAGGAACATAATGTTAAGCGAACACAGCTGGTTACAGAAAATATAGACAGAATGGTTCTCTTTACATAAAGTTCCAGAGAGAATGCTAAATGAAATAATTTTGTTTAGAAATGCAAACAAATGTGGTCAAATAACAAAAGGAAAGAAAGGAATAAAGAAATAATAAATCCCATAGTGGTTCTCTGAGGAAGGACAAAAGTGCTGTGACCCAGGGGGTGATCCGCGAAGGTGACAGTTCACCTTTTTAACTTAAACTGGCTGTTGAGTTTACTACTGCTTACTGCCTAGTTATTCTTTTTTTATCTTAAACACATCTTGTATCTATTAGAACGCACACTTTAAAGAGATAACTGTGCCGGAAGGCAGGAGGTGAGCACAGAAAGTCGTCAGTCTGGCGGGGTTCACATGAGAACCCTTTCTACTGAGGTATCATGGCGCAGGGCTTAGACGTGGTATTCCCGGGAGACTCCAAGTAGGGGAGGGCTGTAGAGTAGAGAGGAATAGTCTGGGCAGTAGTCTGGGCAAGACGCGTGGCTTGAGTTCTGGAAGAGCTATACCTGAGAACCACGGAGTATACTCACTTGTCTCCCGGAATCCCTGGAGGGGGTACCAGAAGATAATTTGGGTGGCATCTTGGAAGAACCCGAGGGTTGATTTAAACTTGAGAGCAACCAATTACCATTCTAAAGTTGTCATATAATTTTACAAGTTTTTAAAATGAGCCAAATTTAGGCTAAGCAGAAAATTCCAGAGAAAATGCTTTTATAAAGGCTTAGGGCTATTTCTAAAGTTACTAAAAGCAGCTAACACGGTTTTCAACTCCCAATGCAGTATGTGATCAAGGCAGGGTTTATCAATGAATGCTAAAACTATTGGTTGAAAAGGTGTTGGGGAACAAGATCTTCACAGGACTTAAATATAATCCCACAGACGATATATCAGTTACAAGGGGGGAGAAGGGAAATGCACCTTTACAATGGAAAGATCTCGTTGTGTCCTCCATAACTACATGATTAAATCTAGCATCACTGAAGGTGGGACAAACTAATATTGTGCTTCTCCTGATGTGATTGATGTAAGAATTATCTATCACACTATCACCTATTTAGTTTTCTCGCCCAAAGCATTTAGCTGAAATTCAGTCATGAAGAAATTATTAGACAAACCCTGAATGAAGTCATTCTATAAGATAATTACCTTGGGCTTTTCAAAAAGGCCAATATCATAAAATCAAAAGTAGAGGAAACATTCTAAATAGAAAGAGGCTAGAGAGATATAATGACCAAATACGATGTTTGAATCTTGATTGTACCCTGGATGTTAAAAAGAAAAAAGAAAAAAACCCCAGCAAATAGCTGTAAAAGATGTTTTGGGGACAATTAAGAACATTTGGATATGGACTGCATATTAGATGGCGTTATAGATAATTGTTAATTTTTGTAGGTGTGATAATATTGTGCTCATGCAGGAAAATGTCTTATTCTTAGGCAATGCATGAGGCAGTATTTAGGGGTGAAGTGACATGATATTGGCAACTTTATTTTTTTTTAAGATTTTTTATTTATTTATTTGAGAGAGAGAGCAGGAGCGGGGTGGGGGGGGTAGTGGTGGTGGAGAGGAAGGAGAAGCAGACTCCCTGCTGAGCAGGGAGCCCAATGTGGGGCTTGATCCCAGGACCCTGAGATCATGACCTGAGCCGAAGGCAGACATGTAACTGACTGAGCCACCCTGGTGCCCCAATATTGGCAACTTTCAAATGTTCAGCAAAAATCAATTATGTACATGGAGAGAGAAAATGGGGCAAAATGTTGAAAACTGAACAACTGATACATCTAGATGGAGGATATAGAAGTTATTAATGCACATATGTGATTTGGTTTTTATACATATACATATGTGTGTGTGTGTGTGTGTGTATGTGTCAGCTACATAATTTGTGGGACCCAATGAAATGAAAACATGAGGCCCTTGTTCAAAAATTAAGCATGGGGGATACTTCTTGAACATGGAACTTTGTGCAACTGCACTGGTCCCACACCCATGAGGTCAGACATGTATGTGAACGTACACATATCCATATACACACATATATGTGCACACATACATGTATCAGATGAAATGTTTAAAAGTCTAAATACCAGCTTCTCCAAGACTCCGTTATCCAGGGCACTGACTAGAAACATAAACTCACAATATCCATTCCCTACTTGAGTGTTCACCATAACTTGAGGTTCCTGGCATGTTCACTTTTTATTATAGAATAATAAATGATGCCAGTATTATTCATATTTATTTTCATAAATTTTTATGTTAAAACATACATCAAAAGAGAGAATAGGGGGTGTCTGGGTGGCTCAGTCGGTTAAGCATCCAACTCTTGATTTTGGTTTAGGTCATGATCTCATGGTGGTGGGATTGAGCCCCATGTTGGGCTCTGCGTTCAATGGGGAGCCTGCTTCTCTCCCTCTTCCTCTGCCCCAATCCCTGCTCTCTCTCTCAGATAAATAAGTAAAATCTTAAAAAAAAAAGAGAGAAAAGAATAGTGAAACTCTATGTACCCATCACCTAGTTTCAACAACGATCAGTATTCCATCTTTCTTGTTATATATACCCCCTTCTTTTTTAAAATTTTCTTTTACTGGAGTATTCTAAAACGAATCTCAGGCATTATATTATTTAGCTTGTAAATACTTAAAAACATATATCAGAATATAAAATCTTTTGAATTTTAACAAAACCATGATAACATTGTCATTCAATAAAATTAATAAGATTTCCTTGATTGTCATCCAATAATCTTGTCTGTATTCAGTTTTCTTCACAAAAAAATATTTTTACTGGTTGTTTAAATCAGGATCCAACATTGTGTGTAGCTGATGTCTCTTACTCTAACATTTACCCCTGTTCTCAGTTTTTCCTCTTGCCATTTATTTGAGGAAGGAACTGGATCACATATCCTGTAGAATTTCCTTCATTCAGGATCTGACTGATAACATCCCCATGGTGTCTAGTTAGAACTAGAAGCTTGATTTGATTCTGGTTCAGATTTTCTTCCCCAAGAATACTGTATCAGCGATGCTGTATACTTCCTTTGGCATCACTTTGGGAGGAGTATGTTTGGTTTTTCCACTTTCGGTGGTCTGAAGATTGATCGGTGGGCTCTGGGGGTGTCAGGTCCTATCAAGTTTCCTACCCATCTTCCACCTAACGGTTTTGGCAACCATTGATGATTGTTTTTTGGATCCATTATTTCCTTAAGGGTTGCAAAATAGGAATTTTCGGATCCTATCAAACCTCTTTGTCATCTGTGATTCTTCTAGAAAGAACTTAAATGGGACAGATGGGATATTTATTTTTAAAATGAGTTGGTGCCCTGGCAAACTCCAAAGGTGACAAATGAGGTGTTTGTTTTTTGAGCAGGGGTGGGTGTGACCCAACCAGTTCTTTGAAACACTGTGCTCAGAATGGGTTGGAGCGGGAGGAGACTATATTTAAAAGACCAGAATGCTGAGAGGCTGTGCCGGCCTGGAAAAAATGATGGGGTCAGAACCAAGAGGACTTGGTAACGAATTGTGAGGATTAAGGAGAAGGTATGCAGCAGACATTACCTCCAGGTTTGTTTAAATGCATGTGGCTGGATTAGGATGCCATTACAGGAAATACAGGCCCCAATCACATTAACCCCCAAAGAGCCACACACACTTGAGAGCTATTTTGTCTCACACTTTTATCTATCACACAATTTCTCATTAGGATTTAAGCCAATAGTGAGGTCACTGCATGTCTGTGCTCACGGTGAGGTGAACACTTGAGGGAGGTAAAACGTGAGCTCTCGTGTGGAGATGCCATGTTTGGGTTGCAGCCAGAATATTCAGGCGAAGATGTAGAGCACACTGTAGGAAACACATGATAGGGACATGGTGGAAAGGATGGAATCGTATGCAGAATAATGTGTATGGTATCTGGAAGTAACCCCTGCAGCTCAACTTTGAATCCGGGGGATTGCCAAGGGAGATCATATAGAGGAAAGCAGGCTAAGGGACAAAATATGGCAGACAGATCATTTAGATATTTACTCTTTATATCGAGATGTCCACCCAGTCCTTAATGTCTATGATTCTGTTATTCTGTATCTGTGACTGTGGCCTATCCCAAGCCTTCATTTCCTCAGAAAGGTTTCAGATGGAGGGACTACGGTTGATCGATGTACGGTGGCCTCACTATTGGTTTAAACTCTGACTAAAAACTGTATAATAGGTAAAACTGTGAGGCAAATATCTCTCAAATATGTGTGGCTCTTCAGGGGTTAATTCAAGACCTGTTACCAGTTTTCTATGCTGTGACAAATTACCACAAACTTGGAGGTTGAACACAACACACATTTATTCCCTTAGAGTTTTGGAGGCCAGATGTCTGAAATGAGTTTCACTGGGCTTACGTCGAGGTGTTCGCAGGGACATGCTCCTCTGGAGGCTCCCGCTTCATGACCCATGTTCACTGTTACTTGAATAAGCCCTCACCACACAGGTTGGCTGTGCTACTTGAGTAAGGTTTTGCACTCAGTGGCTCTCTACTACAGTTTCTACCTAAAATTCCCTTCAAATTTTTTAAATAAAATTTTGAGATATAATTCACATACCATACAATTCACCCCTTTAAACTATACAGTTCAATGGTGTCAGGTATGTTCAGAGTTGTGCAGAAAACCCATACCCATTAGCACTCATTCCTCATCTTCCCCCAAAGACTAATTTACTTTCCATCTCTATAGATTGGCCCACTCTGGACATTTCATTTAAATGGAATCATACAATATGTGGTCTTTTTCACTTAGCATAATGTTTTCAAGGTTCATCCATGTTGTGGCATGGATCAGTACTTCATTCCTTTATATTGCCAACGAATTATCAATTATATGGATATATCACATTTTATTTATCTGTTCATCAGTTGATGGACATTTGGGTTGTTTCCACTTTCTTGCTATTATGAACAATGCTACTGTGAATATTCATGGACAAGTTTTATGTGGACATATTTTCGTTTCTCTTGGGTGAATACCTGGGGGTGGAAGGGCTGGGTCACTTTGTAACCCTCATAACTTTGTGTATCCAGGTTATGTTCAGGACCAAATTCAGTGATTTCATAGTGTTCCATCATCCCTGCTCAGAATGAAACTTCTCCCTAGTACTGCTGTTGTTCAGTACCTCAGTATTATGCTCACCAATTTGCCTTGGAGCTCAGTAATTCCTATGTGGCTCTTTCTGTGAATTTCTGGAAAGCAGGGACAGGCTCTCTCATTTTTGTATACCCCAAGGCGGTGAATGTACTGCCTTGCAGAAAGTAGAAACTCCGTAAGTGCTTTTGAATTGGTGGAAACTAAAAGTATTAAGAATTTCATATGCTTGATCCTACAAAATGTGTCTAATGCTAAATAATGTTCACTTCCAAATTTCAACAATTAAATGGCAAATAACACTTAAAGGTGTTTAAGGCAAACCAATTTCTATGTTAAAGTCTGTTTATTTTGAATTATAGCAGCTCTGGTATTTTGGATTTATATTAAGAAAATGAAACACTTTAGAAATTATAGATAAGACTTTGAAAACTTAGCACAGTATAAACAAAAGTAAATAACACGACATGTTAAAATTTAAGTTTCAAATTTCACATAAATTTCACTGAAGCAAATTCAAATTCACTAAGGCAAATTTAAAAATTCTTTTTAATGTTTTGCTTCTGTTGGTTTTCATTATTGTCCTTGTGAAGTCAACAAAGACTTACATTAATAAAAATAAATTTTTACTCACTGAAAGCCTGTATTTTTCATTGTCGATGGATAAGAATAGAGGGATGCTTCCCACTCTCCAAGGGAGGCCTAGTTCTAGCCCTTGACCTGGAAATGCAGACCACAACTCTGGTAGAGTCACAGACTCCATCAAAGTTATTTGTATGTTCTCAGCCTAATTATGCATGAACATATTAAAAATATTCTTGGCCACTAGGCAGGTGGTCTCCATGGTCATTAACAGGAGAAAAAGAAGTTGGTGCCTAACTCTGTTCCATCTAAATCAATCCATGTGGCTTTGGGAAATGACTGCATGAGTATCAGGCTATTGGCTAAGAGGACAGGAAGTATCTGACTGTAATTCCAAGGAAAGATGAACGTCTTTGTTTTAGCTATTAATTCAATTTTATTGTTTTTTAAGTGAAAAGGTAAATATTAAATAGTATTATTCAATCGTATAATAGAGCTCAATTATACAATTGAGGAAGTCAGCATGTGTGGCCCAGCCCCTGGTGGGTTCTCTCACCTTGAAAGCTGAATGGTCTCAGAATGCAAAGGTGGGCTCTATCCCTGGCAAGGCAGAGGTCTGTAGTTGTGTCTAGGCAGGGAGATATTTTAGGCAGCCTCACAGGAGAATGAGTCAACCTTGCTCTCTACTCCAGCTTCACTGATAAATAAATAAAGCCGACACTTTGATCTCTCTCTGACTCCTATGTCTTACTTCTCAATTTGATCCAGAGTGAAGAGGGGAATAAGAGAGGTATCCTTAAGCCCCAGAAGCATCACAATCGAGTCTTGAATTGTAATTGCCCGTGTCTGTAACACTGGTGTTCTGAAATAGCATTCCATTATTTTTTTGAAGTCTATGAACAACTATAAAGTACAAAGTATTTCTTACAAAAAGAACACAACATATAAAAGGCCCTCTTTCTTTAGGCATAATCTGGGAATTCTAACTGTTCAATTGTCTATTTTTAGGAAACATTTCCCAAGTTTCTACTTTACTGAGAATAATCTTAGTCGTGATCTGCCGAAGTTGGTCCTGGGCAATTTGAAGAGAGGTCTTCTTTATCTGTGATTTATGTGAGGAAAATAAAAGATTAATACAACTTGTACAGTAAACTATTCCAGAAAATTATGTTAACATAACATGTGTTTCGTAGCTGTGTTTGCTACTTACTCAGCTAAACCAGGAAAAGATACAAGAACCAACAAGTCTTTACTGTCAAGTATAAAGTCCTTAAATTCAAGTTAACAAAGCCAACATGGGCGAATGTATTACAGGGGAAAGTACTTGACTCTGTAAGACATCTGGCCAGTTTTAAACCCATTTGGAGTGGATTTCAACATTCTGATTTTTATAGTTCAGGGATAATATCTAACTACATAAAAGCTAGTTCTAAAAATTTTAAATATTTTTCAAGTACTATAGCTGGAAAGAATCTTTAAAAATAAATCATGAAAACAAATCATCCAATTAACTCAAAAATTCTTCCTTTTTGAAATAGAAGACTGAAAAATTCCCTTCTGCACATTTAGTTTCTGAAAAGTTAAAAGCACCTTTAATAAGGCCTCAATTAATGGGGCGCCTGGGTGGCTCAGGTGGTTAAGCTCAGGTCATGATCTCAGGGTCCTGGGACAGAGCCCCTTGTTGGGCTCCCTGCTCAGTGGGGAGTCTGCTTCTCCCTCTCCCTCTGCACCAACCCCCAAACCCCCACTCATGCTCTCTCTCTCAAATAGATTAAAAAAAAAGACCTCAATTATTTCTTTTTTTTTTTAAGATTTTATTTATTTATTTATTCATGAGAGACGGGGGGGGGGGGGCAGAGGGAGAAGCAGGCTCCCAAGGAGCAGGGAGCCCGAAGCGGGACCTGATCCCAGAACCCCGAAGGCAGACGCTTAACCATCTGAGCCACCCAGGCGCCCAAGACCTCAATTATTTCTATATTCACTATTGCTTAAAGACATTGGTCCCAAATTGCCATTTGGATGGGAGTAAGAAATTACCATTGTCTATGGGAAATGTGACTTTCACACACACAAGAAAAATCAAAGCTAAAAAGAAAATCAAAGAACATTTGTATTCAATATTTTTAAAAAGTGCGAAGTATCCTCTTACCTTCATAGGCTGTTCCACACCAAATACAATACAGATGCTCTTCTCTTAAATAACCAGTCAATATTTGTAATTTTTCCAGTACCTAGATATAGGAGGACATAGGGGCACATTAATAGTTCAAATTGAACAGAATCTTGGTTTTCTGGTGTCTTGGATCCTGCCAAGTTAGCCCAAAGCCATAAATCTGCTACTCTCTTAACCAGGCAGGAGAAGTATGAAGGGCAGAGTATATCAGAACATGTTCCAGTTTATCAGCCACCCTGATATTTTCACAAGTCTGCCAGACACAAAGAGACCACTTGTTAACATTTAGAAAATAGGTTTGGGCTGGCTCTATTTTAATCACCATCCTTTAAAGACCCGTCTACTTTCAAAGAATCTTCCTCCCTGGTGGGATGAGAGTGAACACTGCCTCCTTTGTCCTTAAAGTTCTCAACAATGGTCTCCCAGTTAAGTGGAACATTGGTTTTTCAAATTGTAAATGTTTCCTACAAAATGCTCACATACAAATAAGCATAGAAATAGGATTCCTTTCTTGGATAATCTCCATTTCCTTTGAATTATGTTTTTTGACTTTGTTTATGGGTGGAGGAGAGAGGTACTCCTATAGAATCACTTCCAGGAATTTAACAGGCAACAAGGTAGAAATTAAATAATTTACATTTGCAGCTCATCTGTCATCCAAACCGAAGCTGAGATGAGAGTGTAAACTGAAGTGAAAGGAAGAAATTATATAAAGTTTTGGTAAAGCTATAATGTCGTGGTTCTCAAGAAGGGCTCAGAGTGTTAGTGGTGCCAACGCTGAGACACCCTGCTCAAGGAACTGGTGCCAAAACATACACTTATGTCTTCACTCTTATATTCATCTTCATCTGGCTCTTTTTCTTCCTCTTCCTCTTCCTCAGTCTCCTCTTCAAGCCCCAACCAGTACCATGCTTCCCTGGGAAACGGAATGTTCTGAAAATGGGAGAATTATTCCCAATTAAACACAAGTTTGTTCGTGTCAACATGAATTCATATTCTTTCAATTCAATATTTACTGAGTGCTGCCTCAAGAGTCAAGCACTGGGCTATATGAACCATGGGGATGAAGACCCAGTTGGAATACTGTCCCCAAGTTGCTGCCGGTCTAGTAAGGAAAAGAAGACATGGGTATACGTAGCCTAATGGGTATAAAATAATACATATAAGCTAGAAATCTTAAGTGCCATGACACAGACACAAAATAAAATGCTATGAAAATATAGAAAAGTGGGAGATGGCTTCCAGCGATCTACTTACATACGAGGGATATTTTACAAACGTTTTTGAGACTTAAGATGAAGTCATTTTATTTTGGTGGAAACATCAAAATAAAAAAAGCAAAGTGAAATAAAAATAGAAGAAAAAACAGGATGTTAAAAACCACTCACATCTGAAACAGATAGTAATCTACCATGGTTTTACTAGTTAGGGACACAAAAGGTACTGAATATGGACTAAATATAGGCTATTCTGGTTAATCAAATATTCTGGCAAACAGAATTTCCACACGCACCAGCTCTGAGTCATTGATACTCAAATAAGCAGAGAACAATTAAATATAAAAACATTATTTGACGCTTAGTGGGTAATTCAGACCATTCCGGTTCCTGCAGAGGACAAGTCATTGTGAGTACCAATCATCAAAGATCAGTAGTGCGTGTTAAATGAAAGCTTTACCGGGTAGCAGGCTAGATACACTGGGCTTGGAGTTCTTTTCTTTTTTTTCTCTAATTATAGGGAAAATCACACCAGGTGCCAAAAGTGTTCCACACTCCACACAGGTGAAAGGCTTGCCTTCTGAGTATCCAACTGCTGGCATGCTCGCTGGCTTCTCCTCAGGTCCCCTTCCAGCTTCACTTCATCATGCTTATGTTTAAATCGCAGTCTAAAAAAAATCAATCAATCAATCAATCACAGTCTCATTGAAAGAAAACCACAGTCCACTGAGAGTCTGTACTCTCTTTACACATTTTATGTGCCCAACTCCCAGAAAACATACACAGGAAAGACAAGATGAAACCCAACGTAGCGCAAGTACAAAGTGTTACCGAAATTGCTCTGCAGCTGTTTCTTCAGCTTGGTTTTTCATGTGAATCTTCCTCCTGTAGCTTTCTAGTTTTTCCTCTGCTTTCCGTTTCAGTAATGCCTCATGACCAAGGCCGCTTTTTCCTGTTCAAACAGCAAACTCTGCTGAGGGACCTGCTGGCTTCACACTTTTAAAACATGGCAACTGACCTATTTGCATATGACACACAATTCTAATCTGAGAACAATCGTTCAAAATCATTTGACATGAATGACAAGAGAAAACAGTAGAGATTTTTTTTTTCTAAACCCAAACACACAATTTGATTTTTATAAGATCATTAGTCTGATCTCATGATAGTCACACTATATAAAATTTTTTAAATTGGGAAAACAGTATCAAGTGTCATACTTGCATATAAATATCATGAACAAATAAAATAAATATTTTTCTCTTTAATTCATACAAAGTATTTAGAAAAACACTGAATGGATAAATCTGTCTTAGAAGACTTTTAGGACATTTCAAAGGACAAAAGTAGCTCTGCATTTTTAATGGTCACAGCATTTTTTCCCCATATTTTTACGATTTAAATTTTATTTTATACTCACTGAAATTTTTATTTTTAGTTTAAAAGATCTAGAAGTTTAAGAAATATCTTACTGAGGGTTTCCTATGATTAGAACTGTAATAGTACTACCATAAAAAAAGTATTTAGTAAGCAAATATATGTGCTAGATCTAAACATCAGTTCTTATTACTGGTAAATATACTCAAAAATAATTATATACCTGTTTTGACGTTGAGAGGAATTGGCTCAACAATACCTTCTCCTAAGAAAAGAGAACAAAACACACAAACTACTTTAGAAATTCTTCCGCAAACTATAGGTGAGCACGGTATTGCAACGTTACAATATTCTTCCAGCTTCAATGTCACTTGAGACTGAAAACTGACTATCTAATCAACTACCTCCCTTGCCTTCAAATACCCGCTCCTCAGTAAGGCTGCCCCACAGGGCCTTCTGAAGGTACAGTTTCCTGAAGTGAAAACATGGATACTCTATGTCCAAGAGGGCGGCGGCCTCCAGAGAAAGCAAAGACTTGCTAGGTGAGGATCAAAGCCATTACAATAAAGAAGAGAAGACGAGAAAGACAGCTTACTACAAACATATGGCCTCTCCATCTTAATAAACAGTCTCACTTTCTAAAAGGGAAGTGAGAATTGAGCTTGTCCAACCAGATGCTCATTTAGGCAGCTGCCACAGGTATAGAGCGAGCAGGGCAGAGTGCCGCCATTCTCCTCAATGTCATTTCACTGTCCTTGGGCTGTTGCACTCCTCAACCCTTCTCTTGTCACCATTCTTAGCCGCTGCCTTCATTGTAAGTCTCGTCCATCCCTGATGTTAGCACCTTCAAGGCTGAGCTGGGCTGATAAGTAGCTCTTGATGGCAAACGGTTATCTAAGGTGGCGTGGGAAGATGAAAGTTCTCTATATGGCTTGTTAGCATATAAGAGACTAGCTAAATTGTCTTAATTTCGGTGGAGATGGGTAAAGAGTCATCTCTGGTACTCATCAATAGATCACCATTTGGTGGTTAGGAACACCTGCTTCTGTCCAGACAGAACTTACCGCTCTTGCCAAGGGCCTGACCACTTTTATATCCCATCTTTTGGAGCAGAGCAAATCCTTTGTTTTCACAGCCTAGTGCATTCTTCAACCCAATGTCACGTCTTTCTTGTTCTTCTTCTTTTAAACTCTTCTGCCTATTTTTCAAATTAGCTTCCTGTTGCTTTTCTTCTTTTCGACGGGCTTCTCGGATCTGCCTCAGCATTGGCAATCCTGGTCTGATGTCTTGTCTGAAAAATAAGGGAAAAGGTGATTTTGGATGAGTACCTGAAGTTTTCTCATAACTTTGCTACTTACTCATTTAACACTGCTTAAAAGTTCAGTACCGGTATGATCACCTTGTTATTATTGATATTAGAATATAATCAGTGACCTCTGAGAATGGCTGTTTTAATAAAAATAATGAAGGCTGGTGCCAGATTGTAGGAAACTAAAGGAAGTATAGAGGTGAAGAAATAGTAATTTTACACTAATTTTTCTAGGAGGTTGGAAATAATAAAGAGCAAAGTTGAATACTAGCTAGAAGAGACAATAAGAAAATAAAACAGAAGAGAAATTTCCTTGAAAGAGGAGAATAACAAGAATCAAGGGCAGAAGTCAATGTTTAGCATTAAAAGGGAAATAAAGGCTCCTAGTATCTTTATATGAAAATGAAGGCGATGCTCCCATAAAGCAATGAAACTAATCTTCCAACCCGCATTTAAAATCAATGTCATTACTTAGGAGTCTTCTACATGCCATTACATGAGATGTACACATTTACTTACTGGACATTAATGAAGGAATCTGACATATAGTCCTCTTCTTCTGCCATGTTCAACTTCATATGGCAAAAGTATCTACAAATCAAATAGGACAAAGTAACAATACCTATTTTTTCAGTTTATAATGGAAATAGACCTGTCTCTGCAGCCCTCCCACACATTCAAGTGCCTCCCAGCATCTTTCTGTGTGAAGCTCCCCAACAACTCATTCTCTTCTACCCCAAGCCTCCTTCATATCCTATTATTTTCAAATGAATGTAACTACAATCTGCCCATTCCTGACCTCTTGCAAACCTCTGCCAAGCCTTCCTCTATAATACCCCTCATTTTTCCTATAGTTAAGGCATTTCTTTCTCACCTAAACTATTACAACAACTTCCTAACAGGTCTCATTGCATTTGGCCTCTCCTCTTCCAATCTGTCTCCTACACGCTCTCCAGAGTGTTGTTTTTTTAAGACAACTTTTTTTAAAGCTTATTTATTTATTTTTAATCTCTACACCCAACGTGGGGCTTGAACTCACAACTCTGAGATCAAGAGTCGTGTGCTCTTCCCACTAAAAGCCAGCCAGGTGGCCCCAGAGTGTTTTTTTTTTTTTTTTTTAAAAAAACATAAGTCAGGTCATTTAACCTGTTTCAAATCCTTCAATAAGCTTTACCCTGTAGACAATGGAGGACCAGTCACTTTAACATGGTAGCAGGAGGAATTCTTCATAATCTGACCTCTGACTCTCCTTTAGGATTCAATATTCAAGTTATATGGGCTTCTCATTGCCCTCTGAACATACTACAGACATTTCCTTCCTCCTGGGCCTAGGTGACCCTCCTTCACAAAGTCTGTCCTGACCATTCCAGGCCTTGCTCTACAGCACTTCATGTCCAAGCTGCTCATTTAGAACTTGATACAGTTAACATCTTACTTATATGGAAACATTTCTGAGGAGAGTTTCCATCCAAAATAGTTAAAATCATGTAATTATTTTCCCTTACAGGTATAAAATAATTATCAAGAAAATTGCATCTCAAACTTTATTATGTATAGGAATTGCCTCAGGATCTTCTTAAAATCCAGAGTCTGATTCTGAACTAGAGCCTGAAGTTCTGTATTTCTAATAGGCTCGCAGGTGACATCGATGCTGCTGGTCCAGTGCCTAGTTACAAAGGGTAGTCATTTGTTGCAGTGCATACATGCTGTTTTTGCCTGCATCCTTTCCTTTGAGGACCCAGCCCTCTGCCCTCCATGCAGTTCTAGTGGAGGGTGGCAATCTCAGTACTCTGTACTTGGAACTCCCAATTCTGGTACACTATGTCCCAGCAACAGAGGAGGTGATGAGCTAACCAGGGCAGATAAGCATCGCTTTCCTTATGTGATATGAATATACGATTGTGGGGGGAAAGAAATCTCTTCACTGGGGTTTCTGAACTGGAAGTATGTGAAGCTGGGCTACAGATGGCCACCTTCCTGGCCATTTGAAGAGATTCTATTCTGCAGAATGAAACCAGATAGAAAAAATGCACAAAGGTAGTCCTAAAAGCAATGAGTCTCTACCTCTAGTTCCTAAGACCCTGATTCCTATAGCTCTTTCTTTGATGCTGTGACTAACATTCTTCCCAGTTACATAGGCTAATAAATTTCCTCATTTCTTAAACTTGGAATAGGGATTCTGTCAACTGCAACTGAGAGTTTGGACAATTACAATGGATGGGAAAGCTATTACTGTACTGTTTTTGTTTGTTTTTATAATTTTTTAGTGTATATCTTCCTAACCAGGCTGTAAACAACAAAGAAAAGTTCCCTATATCCCTACCACCATGGCCCAAACATCATAAATTCTAAATGTTTAGCCACGATAAGAACAAGAAAGGTCTTTCCTTTGTGATTTTGTAATAATAGAATACTTTTCTCCCTAGGTCATGTCTTAAAACAAATGTACAGATAATGAATTTTTATGAGGCAAACACTCTTGTAACCAAGTGGTAGCCTCCCAGATGGCCCCCAATGATTCTTGCCTCTTGATTTTCCACATCCTTGTGCAGTCCCCCTCCACAGTGACTAGGACTGATCCGTAACCAATAGGGTATTGTGGAAATGATGGAGAGTGACTTCTTGGTCATAAAGGACACTACAGCTCTTAGATCACTCTAACTCTGGCTAGATTACTCATTCTAAAGAAAGTCAGCTGTCATGTACTGACGACACTTAAGCAGCTCTATGGAAAGGTCCACACAGGAAGATCTGAGGCCTCCTGTCCACAACCATTACAAACTTGGGAGCCACATGATTGAGACATCTTAGAAACAGAGCCTCAAGCCCCAGTCAAACCTTCAAATGATTCAGCCTGGACTAGCATCTTCATTACATCTTCTTAAGAAAGTCTGAGCTAAGCTAAACTACTAACAAATTCCTGATCCATAGAAACTATGAGATAATAAGTGATTATAGTTATTTCAAGCTGCTAAATTTTGGGATAACTTATTATACAGTAAAAGATAATATAATACATCACCCATATCACAACCCTTGTCAGGTACCCAGGAGCCCTCTTTGTCCCCTACCAACTGTATCATTTTCTTACTTTTCTTCAGAGTTTCATCAGCCATATGTGCATCCTTAAACATTATCATTTTTCTTTTTATTATAATAAGTTAAAAATATGTAAGATTATACATAGCATTTGTGGTAATTCACCCACTGTCTCTTAACTTCAAATTCTTCATTTCTAGTAACAGTATTCTTACACATAATGGTTTAGCACCTACCCAGTATCTCAAACATTTTTATCCCATTTAATCATTAACAACTATATACAGTAGGAATAGTTAGTCCAGCTTTTTAGTTGGAGAAATTAAGGCTCAGTATGGCTAAATGACTTGCTCAACACCACAAAAAAACCCAGGTCTCAGTGCTCTTGCCATTGCAAACAGGGTTAGATTATTTTTAAGGGACTCATTTAGCTCTAAAGTGTTAGGCAGATCTGAATGGGGGTTCCAGGTTTGTTTGTTTTTTTTTAACTACCCCTTTGTGTATACAATATTCTTTAGCATCATCTAGTCGTATCAAGCATAAGGATAAACTTCCTAAAGCGATAATCCAGGCACAGATGATGGCGGCTTGGACCACAGTAACTGCAGTGGGAGTGGTGAGAAGTGGTCGGATTCTGGGTATATTTTAAAGGTAGCTCTAAGGAGACTGGCTGATAGATCGGAGGCGGTGTGTCAAAGAGAGAAGTCTACGATTACTCCAAGGCTTTTGGTCTGAAGAGCTGGAAGAATGGAGTTACCTGTTTTTGAGAGTGGTTAGACTGTAGTAGGTCTGGTTCGGGTGAGGTTAGTATTGTTTTGTTTTGGCAGAGAGCGGGCAGGGAGGGGGCAACAAAAATGCTGCTTCAGGCCTACGGAGAATCCCATTACACATCTGAGGGGAGAGGAGGGCTAAGTAGCTGGACATACAGTAGAAACCTAACCAAAAAACCTCAGTCCCCCCCATCCCCCCCCCCCCCAGGGACTGCTGATTCCTCCCTTTTCGCGTCCATCCCAGCTGCAAGCATCGCGCAGACGCAACGACTCCCGGGTGGGCATGTAGGTGATGGTGTGATGGGGTAGTCACAACAAGCGCACAGCCCACCGCCCTTCACCATTCTATCTGGCGTCCCTACCCCCTTACCTGGCAGCTCTACTCGCCCCGGGCCAGCTTGCGAGAGCGCGCGCGGCGCATGCGCCCACCTACCAGCAGGGGACGTGTGAGCCTCAGGTCCCACCTGAGTTTCCTATCGAGCAGTCAATTGGAAACCTGTGGCAGGGGAGATTTGGAGGATATAATTAGTGCGCTTGCGCAAAAACCAGCCTTCTGCGCATGCGCTCTCCTTTCGTTTCCTGCTGGCAGGAGTGCGGGAGGCGGGGCATCCGGGTCTTTGGCAGATGCTTCTGGCCCCGGAACTCAGCTGTGCGGCCCCTGCCAGACTAGGAGGTGAGGCCACCCCCGTCTGCCGCCAGAGCATGCACGGTGACACGCACACACACTCCTGTCCCCCCGTACGTTTTCAGAGGGCTGGAGAGGAAAATCGAGTTTGTAATGAACGTTTTCTTTTCTCAGTCTCCGGGCTCGGTTCCGGGCCACCGTCACCTGTCGTTGACAGCCCGAGTGGCCCTGGCAAGGCCTGCGGCGGCCTCTTACACATCCCCTAGGCCTGGCACTGAGCTACCGTGGTCCTCCGAGTAGCCGGGTTAACCCAGACCTGCAGCGCTCTCAGCATCTGTGGGCTGCATTTCCCCCAGCGCCCGGGGTTGCCACTGAAGCTTATGCCACAAGGATGTGGCTCCCTCACCCCATCCCCCTAGGAAGGCTTTTGGAGACTTCCAGTGTGACATCTTTATGCTGGGAGTTTTGACGTCCTCCTGGGCCAGGGGAGGGTAAGGGTGCTGTGCACCGAGCAGTGGGCGAGAAAGGAGGATGGATTGTCAGGCCCAGCCCGTGTTTGATCTGGGTGCTTAAGTTTTAGCATTTATGGAATGAGTTAATGACATGTGTTTTGCTACGCATTTTTCTTGGAATAATGCCTTATTTGCTACGTATATATTTTAAGTAATCTTTAGACCCAATGAAGGCCTTGAACCCACGACTCCAAGTTCAAGAATCGCAGGTTCTACTGACTGAGCCAGCCAGGTGCCCCGCTATTTGCAAAATTTATTTTAATGTTTCTTTTACCCCTTTTTTCATTCTTCCTCACCAAGCATGACTTTCATTTATGTTCATTTTTGTTTTACGCTGGTCCTTTAGAATTAGGTTCTTGGGTTTTACCTCAAAGAAATTGCATAAATTTCCCCCAAATGAAATGAGAAGTAAAGCCATACTTTAAACTTCTTGGTGGTTGCATTCATTAAGCTTGACTTTTAACATTAAAAAAAATCCTTACAGGTATTTTTTAATTTGTTAAGGCGTGACTTTTAAACTTCAGTAATGGAGCTAGCCCACAGTTTATTGCTAAATGAAGAAGCTTTGGCTCAGATCACTGAAGCAAAGAGACCAGTTTTTATCTTTGAATGGTTGAGATTTCTTGATAAAGTCTTGGTTGCTGCCAACAAGGTATGGTATTTTTTTTTTTCCAGCTGGGTTTACCTAATGAAGAGTACTATATGCTCATGATTTGTGAAAAAACAAGCATTATGTTTTGGAAAGGTTGTGGGTCACTTATGGAATTGAGAATGTTACACTGGAATACGAATTTTTGTCTGTCCTTTTTCTGTTTTGTCGCAGAACCTGAATCGCCTTTGAACCTAGTTCTTTGCCTACGTCATGTCTCTGTATGAACAGTTGAATGTGCCTGGGGAAAAATATGGTTATATGACTGCCAACATTTTAAATTCATTTATCTCCAACTTCACGTGGTCCCTCGGTGTTGTCTAGCAATCCCAGTATCTTTACTTATCTCCCTGAGGAGTTATAACAGGGTTTTCTTTTAGCTACTCATTCCTTGGAAGAGACATTTCTACTCTAGTGTCCTAGGGTGTATCACCAGCTGCCTAGATTCTAGGAACTGGGGGAGAAGGCTAGGGACTTCAACATCCAGTATGTAAACTTTCATTTAAACCCCCTGTCTTCAGTGCAGTTTTCCCAGCCCACAGCTGTTCTTGAGTTCCCTGAGTCCAGAATGGAGGAGAAAGGTATGAAAATCTTACAGCTTCTAGACTCTCAACCATTTCCTCTAGCTCTAGGCACAGCTTCACTCCTTCCTCCAAAAGCACCTAGAACTTCAAACAACAACAACATAACAAACATGAGCTTTACAGGGTTCTGTGTTGTAATTTGAGTCTCTTCTTAGCTTTCCCTATTGGGGATACCTGGCTTCTATATTTTCTGTTGATTGTTTTCCTGTTTTCTTTGCTCTTGTAGATTTGTGTTTTTTGTTTTTTGTGGGGTTTTTTTGGTTGCCCTTTAGTATAGTTTTAGTAGTAATTTTGGAGAGACAAAGTTAATGAATGGATTCATTTACAGTCCTTAGCTCAAAGTTTCTATTTTCTCTTAAACACCTTCTAAGTGAGTATTTTTTGTCTCTATTCCACTGAAACGGCTCTTGTCTAGTCATCAGTGATCGCAGATTCTTCCAACCAGTGGTCAGTATTCTGTCTTAGTTGGCCATCAGCAGCTTTTGATATAATTGATCCTCTACCTTTTAAACACTTAACTATATTTTTTATTTTGTTGTGAAATTGAAAAATACAAGACTATATACAAGTATTTATTCCTTCAATGATATCATAATCTCATGATTTTTACAATAATGACTTCCAGATACCCAACTACCTCTTTCTCTCTTAAACAGCATCTCAAAATTAACATATTCAAAGCCACATTCTTGATTTACCCATCCCAAACCTGTCCTTTCCCTAGTGCTCTCATCTTCTCAGGAAATGACCATTTCTTCCTTCTGGTTGCTCAGGTCATAAACCTTAGAGTCATTCTTGACTTCTTTCTTTCTCAAACTTCACATCATATTCATGAGCAAGTCCTATTGGTTCTATCCACCAGATATGTCCAGAATTCAATTATTTGTCATCATTGCCATTGTTTCCACCCTCATCTCTCATCTGGATTATTACAATAATTTCCTTAGTGCTCACCATGCTTCCAAACATGTACCTTGTATTCTTTGTTCAGTATTCAGAATGTGCCCTTTAAAATGTTCTGATTGCATTCCTTTTGTGCTTCAAATTCCTGCTCAGAATGACAGAAAATTCTTAGAGTGGTGTGTAAGGCGCTATACAATCTGGTTCCTTCTACCCTTCTGACTTCATCTTACACTACTTCCTCTCTGACTCTGCTCCAGCCAAACTCGCCGTCTTGCTGTCTTCAACTGAGCAAACTTCCACTTCAAGGCCTTTGCCCTTGTTCCCTTTGCTTAGAATGTTTTTCTCTCAGATGTCTGCGTAGCTCACACCTTCACTTCTTTTCAGAGAGGCCTTTTCTTACTAATCTGTACAAAACAGTAAGAGCTCACACTATTCATTTGTTTATTTGGTGAACTCTGTCTTTCCCCACTGGAATATAAACTCATAAGGGCAGAGACTTTGTCTGTTGTGTTCACTGTTTCATCCTAGTGTCTAGAATAGTGCATGGCATATAATAAGTGCACAGTCAGCATTTCTTGAAAGAATGAATGAACTCTTGGTATTGATTATGAGTATATTGGAATTTTTCTTTTTATGCTGTCTACAGATCTTAAAGTTTCTTTCAGTTTCCTTCAGTGACCTATAACTGATGAACTACTGACTTCGCTTTTATAGGGCAGCCTTGCTAGGTTCTAAGACATAAGTTGTCCCTATGCCCAATATTTTATATCCTTTGACTGTTGGTTTCTTAGCAAGTTAGTGTGGGAACTTTTTGGATCTAGAGTAGTCACTTTTATTGGTAGCTAACTTTTTGGCATTGGAGGGGAATGAAGGATAATATTTAATCTAGGAAAGAATGGTTCATTTCTTACTGAACTTTTCCTTATCTTGAAAATTTTCATTTATGGTTTTATGCCTAATATAATCTAGATTTTAATTGTTGAGTATTTTTTATTTTGATTAAAAGGTAACAAAGTTACATATAAGAAAAAACTGATAATGTTCTTTTTTTTTTAATAACAGACTGATGTAAAGGAAAAACAGAAAAAACTTGTTGAACAATTAACTGGATTAATAAGTAGTTCACCTGGACCACCTACACGAAAACTGTTAGCTAAAAATCTTGCAGCTCTTTATAGCATTGGGGATACTTTTACGGTTTTTCAAACACTTGATAAATGTAATGACATTATCAGAAATAAAGATGACACTGCAGCCTACTTACCAACAAAACTGTAAGTACTTACTTTGACATTTTGTTTTTTTTAGAGTAACTTATCTTAATAAGGGACTACTGATCATAAAGACCCCTAGGTCATTGGAACCTGCAACATACCGCTTGACAATGAAAGCTCTAAGTAGGTCTGGGGAAGGGGTTCTTTTTCAGTCTGTGTTTCATCGCCACTGGGATGAAAAAGCAAACGACAGAGAATTGGTATGGTGTCAGCAATTTGCACAGAGGTCTTTTGGTAAATTTGGATGGAGAGAATATTCTTGGCTGGGATAGAGAAAGGTAAAGAATGTCTAGGTGATGGGATTGAGGCAGGACTGGGCAAACTAGCCCATAGGCCAAATCCAGCCTGCTGCCTATTTTGTAAAGTTTAATTGGAATACAGACATGCCCATTCATTTAGGTAGTAGCTGCTATCATGCTATAGTGGCAGAACTGAGTAGCTGAGACAGAGACCATTTTGCCTGACCTTTGGTTTGGGTCAAGGACAGACATTTTCAGAGCAAGTGTTAAGGCTAATGGCTATGGGGTGCATCCTATGAAAGGGTCAAATAAGAAAACCAACAGTTCTAGTACAGTGAAGAGTGTTGTCAAGGGGGAAATTACTCACCTGTGGCATAAGGGGAGAGCAGTGTCAAGGAAGGCTTCTCAAGGAAGGATCAGGCAAGGATCAACAACAGGGAAGGACACATGGAGGTTAGTCAAATAAGTGGTTAAGATGAGAAGATGGATGTGATAGGCCAGGGATTGGCAAACTTTATGAAAAAGAGCCAGGGAGTAACTCTTTTTGGCTTTGTGGACTATCCATCTCTGTCACGACTACTCACCTCTGCCACAGACTGTATGTAAATAAAATAGCTGTGTTCCAATGAAATTTTATTTATAAAAACAGGTGGTAGGCTGGATGATGGGCCAGATTCGACTTGCAGGCTGTCGTTTGCCAACCTATTTTCTAGGCAAGGAAACTTCTCATTG